AATCTGGAAATTGGAAATCACTGTCATCTTGTTGTAATCTTTAAAGTCGCCAACGGTTTCGAACAAAACCAAACAAGCTTAAGACATCGTAGTTAAATCAGTTTTTCAGACTGTAGAATATATAGAATTTATTTGTACTGCTTTTCAGAGATTATTTTTAATAAAATGACAAGTTAAATTCGGTGGCTGTTGTTGTTGTTGTTGTTGTTGTTGTTGTTTTTGAGTGGTTGTTTTGAAATCGCAAAGGTTGGGTGCTTTTAAATTCTTGTCCAACTTGTATTTTCTCCGTACTTTGGCAAGCGAACTCGACAAGAATAACGTGAATTCTCTACTCAGGGATGCCGTCTGGAATGACCTCGTAATTCTTACAACCAGCTAAATTGTCCAGCAACCACTAAGGCTGCTGTCCACACTACGCCGGGGGAATTTGAAAACGGAGCTTAATTTCTCCGGTTCGGCCTTCCGTCCACACTAATCCGTCTTAAAAGCTGAGCTCGTCGAAAACTTTCTTCAAACCGGAGGAATTTGGAAACGCCGGCTTTTCGTTTTCGTGTGGACGGAAAACATTGTGAAAACAGAGCTCTAGGCAATTTCGCCTAGAAGGTATTTAGTATATCGACCATCAAGCTATGAATAATTTTCCTGTAAAGAGAAGATTTTTGCGAAGCAAACATGTTCAGAAGCGGAATTCTGAAGACTAATTTCAGAATGCTGTCTCCTTTAGAGATTTTTTTCCGTCTAGCAGCTGAGAACATCCTTTTCCGCCGCTTAGCTGTCTAAATCCTGCCAGATGTGACAGCAAGTCTACGGAATAATTCACAAAGGTTTCCCATCAAAGAGAAAGACAGTTCGCAATTTAATTTTGACTATTTAATTTTTCCTTTTTTTTCGAAGAGGAGGTAGGGGGGGGGGGTGGTTTTGTTTTTTGTTTCTCCTTTTCAGTTTTTGTTTGTTGTCCTTTTTTGTCTTTTTCTGTTTTGTTTGCTTTTAAATGATATTTTTCAGGGATGTCCTCCATGTTGTGAACACACTGACATTCTTTAGCGAGTCGCAAAAAGTGGATGATGTTTACCACATGATCGCCAAAATAATGTGGTTATGATAATCACTTGTTTTCTTTTTAGTTCGCAATTCACATGCACGCTCTGTGAATTGAACCAAGGTGACGCGGAGCACGAAAACGTTTAGAATACCATCAACTAAACTGGAAATCCGAGCAGGAAATAACTTCAACAAAGAAAGGAAAGGCGTCCATGTGTCGGAATGTATTAAAAGTGTGAAGAAACTTAGAATTTTAAAATGGCTTATATGGGTCTTGTGACCCACAGATGTGATAAATGGTTTGTTTTCTGCCTGCACGCAAACTGTTTTCGCTAGTTCTCATCTGAACCTCTTCATGAGTTGACAGGCTAAAAATCAAACGGCTTTTTGAAGAAGAAAGGACACCCTGAGCCAGTAACGGTACGGATAAAACTAGAGATGGAAACCTCGCCGCCGAAACATGCCCAGAAGGCACACAAGCGTTCAACAACAAACGATTCCTTCTCGCCAAGAACGCCAAGCCCGACTCCTCAACAAGATGGGCTTCCAAGGCCACATGACTCGTCGCCTCAAAAAAGTCCAAGCTCGGCCAAACGGCTGAAGACTTTCTTTCAGGAATTACAACGCGAATCCCGCCATGCCCTCACGAACAAGAAAGCCAAGATAGTGCAGTTATGGGAAGGGCGAAGATGGCGTCGTATGAGCCTCGAAGAAGTTGAACCGCTCGCTGAAATGGAAGAAAAGGAATTGTCGAGCTATGGAGCGACTGAGCTTATGGAGTACAACGATGAGAAAACCAACGATGCTCGTCACAGAGGTGGACAAACTCATGACTTTGTAGAAAATCGCTGTTGATTGATCTGGTATATTAAAGCTACAATTTGTAATCTTGAGCCAAAAAGCTTGCCGAGCTATTTATTTGTTATTTTGTTGTAATGGCGGATTACAGTGGTTGTTTCATCTGCCCGAATATCGGAATACGATCACCTTCAAAATAGGAAGCGTCAGACGGTGTAGAAAGTGATATATACAGACCATTTCATGAATATTTCTGTCAAGAGGACGTTCAGAGTTTTCTTGACTATTGTAAGACTGTGAAAAGAGTTCATATCATAATGGAGTTTACCAAGTCCAATGAAATACACTTATTTATCGTGGCAGGGGGAGTGGGTAAGAATGAGTAAATCCGTAATGTCCAGCCAGTTTTTCAGCCTGTGTTAAAACGGAAAGCGTCTGTTTTATGTAAACATAAAAGACCTTTTGCCACACGGCAGGCACCTTTCATCCCATGCGCGTAAAACTAGAGGCGTCTAGCTGATTTTCAGCTTGTTTTTCGACTTTGTCTCGCTCGACCCAATCATCCGCCTCGGACCTGCCCCGTCCATGCCCCGACAGTTTTTTTTTTTTTTGAAAAGTGTTATTGAAAGAAAATGCTCACAGCGTCTTCACTCAGGAAATAAATAAACGCATTCGTTTCTTTGGTACCGTGCTGTGCATGTACGCCAACTCTGCTTTGGTGGCATTTTTTGTTAATCGGACATTACACTGATTTTTTCGAAGAAAATACGAACTTGAAATTTGTGAAAACCGGCGTTAAAAAATGAGCAAGGACATCGATGGCTTGAGAAAATTTACGAGAATAACCATGAACTAGAGGCATACCCCTCGCGGTCGCTCATGTAACAAATGTTGCGATTTTAAAACTTCATCATCTTGTGTAGCCTGTTCCAGGCTCTCGGTTAGTGGGACAATCGAAAACGCGGGCGAGCGACGAGGTCTGTGAGAGAAAAGGAAGGCTGTGCTACATCTTGTGGTCCAGCTAAACCACGCTCGATAATTCCGCAAAAAGAGCATTTGAGTTTGCTTTGTCCATTCATTGGCATATTTATCATTCGCACAGGTTTTGGCGTGATTGTACGCGTATATCTTAGTACAGGGTTAATTTACAAATGAAATCACTATGAAGTCGGAACCTACGGTAAGGCCTCAAAGAAAAAGTGATGAGATGCCACCTAAAACTGAACACACACCACCAACAGTCCTTTACTTTGCTCTGACGAACGAGCTAACGCGCTAGAAACTAAGCAGCATTATTATTAAAATGTGGGAAATAGGAAATTAACTGAAAGGTGATTTGAGGTGTTGGAAAATAATG